TGTATGACTGAAAAACTGTGCTGTATACTAGAAACTGACACAACACTGTAAACTGACTATAACTCAATAAAAAAAATTTTTTTTTAAACTACATCCCCTTCCTCAATATTCCATTTAGGATAGAAAATTTCCCCACATGCTAGAAAACAAGAGCATAATGGGTGCTTTTCCTGATTATAAGTGACACCAATTAAAGTAATCTTCATGATAAAGATTTGTTAGGCTGAGACAGCAGAATTAAATGCATTTAATATAACTCTTGCACAAACATCTGTTGAAGAAAGAGATGAAACTAATGCCCACAGGGTTGTGTGAAGACTATAGTATGTCCACATTTTTCTGGCCATAAGTGATTATGTCCTAATGAAACCTCACAGGAATGGGTCTCCTAAGAGTCATATAAATTAGAGATAAAGAAAATGTTACCTTACTCTTGACAAATGCAAGACAAATCCTTGCAAACCACATTCAGCTGGTGTTTTATACCCAAAACCCCTCCAAGGAAAGGCTATAAATGTTCCAAAAGCAGGAAGCTTTCCTACTCACTAATCTTCAGTGCCATTCTCACACTCCCAGACCACCACATACCACAAAATGACTCTCCCATCGTATTTCAAAAGAATGAATTCACAATCCTCACGAGGACCTCGCAGAGGAGAAAAACATGCTTTGCACCTCGATGCTTCAGTTCAGGCCTTGCTCCAGAAGCAGCACTGGAAACAGGAGCCTGAAAAGAGGCACACTGTGGTCCAGGGAGCCCAACTGCAGTCATATTCCTTCCTGGAGAACTTTAAGACCCAAATCCTTGGCATTGTCCAGATGGAGTCAACCAAGGAAGGTCTTGAGAGGAATATAAACAGGCCAAATCACAAAAGAATAGTCTGTGCTCAGTCCAACAGAACCAACTGAACAACCGCCACTGCACACAACAGGTTTATAAACCTCACAAGTCTGGGAAGGGCCAGAGTGAACAAGCCTCTCCTCTGACAACACGGAGCCTTACTATGTCTTCAAATGAGTCTGGACTATTAAGTCACTGCACTCTCTAAGATAATGAGGAAGCTGCTCGACCACTTGTAGACAAGATTTCCCATCCTGAGAGATGGGAACCCAAAGCGTGAGTGTGAACTTGAGAGCCTTGTGATGTGTGTAAATACTGTCACAAAGAATAGCACACACATAGTCCCAAAATATTCATGTTGGAAAAATTGATAGTGAAATGTACGTATTACTACTCAGTTAGGTAGGAAATCTGAAATATATGTACAATTTATTCAATGGAGAAGAAAATGGATAATTTTGTGAAGGGAGGATATTCAAATTCACGGTTGCAAATTAACTGTTAATATATTTGAAAAGCAGGGCCTAGTCAACCGCACAAGGACGGAGTTGGGGGACTAAACGTAGAACAGAGCCAGTCCTGCTCTCTCAACCTGATTACCCATAGCCCTGCAGAGGGAGTTAGAGGCACACCGCCCTTCCTGGATCTCTTGCGCTATCAGCCAACTCCAGGAATTTATGCAAAGGTAGGCAGAAAAGGCAGCTTATTTTCACCTCTTCCTTGTGCACCAAACTCATTTCAGGTTAGTAGGTCTGTTGAGGCAATCAGACAGAATGCGACTTCAGATTTTTGAGGAGGGGTGCTACTTTTTAATTTCTGAAGTCCTCTGGGGCAGTGGAGTAAGGAGAAAAGGAAGGCAGGGTGATGGTAAAGGATGAAATTCTCTAATTAGGAATGCAAATGGCTGAAGCCATCTCCCTCCTTCTGGGCATCCCACCGTGAAATTAAACAGACCCACAGGCCAGCGGCTGGACCAGAATCAGGAGGACTGACTGGACGAGGATGCCCTGCTTTGGGAGACTTAGTGGGAATGTTGAAGGGGGAGACAAGAGCTCAGAGTCCATACTGTCTGTGGACAAGGGCCTCTTGCTCATCCTTCCTGAGTCTCAAACATACCGTCTAGAATTCTAAACCAAAGGAAGACACAAAAATAGTGAGAGGATTTAGGCCACACTAGTCCAGAGCAGGGAGTGACAGCAACTGCCTACTTTGTTTTAGTCTAGCTTTACACCACCAACTTTGGAGGTGGATATATTTATTAATCCACTGGATATTTATCTTTGGTCCCTATCAATGTATATGGCCTGGTGCTAGGATCCCTCTTTTTCAATGGGGTGTGCAGGGTCAGAGAGAGCCATGGGAAAAGATTTCCACCCCATAGAAAGGCCTGCAATAAAAAGAATTTGGAAAGAATCAGACCAGAGGGGTAGAAAAATACTTTAAGAAGGTCTCCGTTTATAGAACCAATAGGCAACTCTGTATGGAGTAGAATCCATTGTTTAAAGTCACCCCAGAACCTCCAGCAGAACTCCAGCCAGCATCCAACACTGTATTTACTGAAAACACACAGAACTCAATCAGTTATGACTATACCAACGGAGACTCAACCTCTGGCTGTTTAAATCCTAAGAGGCTGTTATTTATCAGTAAATATTCTTTGCTGTAGGACTGTTTTGTGTACATCCAAACTCGCCCCCTCCAGCCCCCATCCTTACCTACAACATGAAGAGTCTACCTCCTTCCTTGACTCCTGTTGATCGACTCTGGCCCTCACTGCTTCTCTCTACCACACCGTCTAGCTCAATGACATACGATACTACTTCTCCTTTATTAGACCGTCAGCTCCTTGAGGGCAGGGACAGTGCCTCCTGCTTATGTGTCTCCTATTTGTTTGCCAAGGAGGGTGCTGAGCACACATACTTGCTGGACCAGACTGGACAAAAGATACCTGCACTTTTCTGTCACAGCTGATGACACAGATCTCTTCCTTCTCGGCTTCGTCTGTCTCTGGTCGTGGTGTTAAGTGTCCACAGCAGAATTCTGGACCAGGGCAGAATGGTGAAGGGACCCTGGGTCCTAGCAGAAGGGGAGGGTTGGTCTCTCTACAGGCGAATGCCTCCCAGCGTCGTCATATCAGCCCACTCCCGAGGCCCCCTCTGCTCTCTGCGAGCCCCTCCCCCTACTCCACCCCCAACACAGAGGTGGCAAAGCTGAGCCGCCTGGAGACTCAGACTCCAAGACGCAGGTTACAAGTACCTAAGGTAGGCTGGTTATCTAGGGGTTCCTTTCTGAGGTATTCACTTCCAAGAACTGTAGGAGTACCAGGTGCTCTAAGTAACTTGCAGGAAAGGAGAAGAAAGATAAGAAAGCATCGTGACTAGGAGCATAGACTCTAGCTGTACCGTTGGGTTTGAATCTCCAATTTCCACTTAGTTAGCTGTGTGACCTGGGCAACTCTGTACACTTGAGTTTTCTCATCTAGAAGATGAGACACCTTATAGGATTGTTGTGCCATTGGAATTATTTAATCTATATATATATAAGGCGTGGGGACCACTGTCTGGCCCACTGTGAATGCTCTGTAACTGTTACCAACAGTCCCCATTATCCGAGAGACTAAGATAATGCCCCCAGGGGACCCCCTCCTACAGGCTGGGAAAGGAAGAGGGGAGAGTAGGGGAGCCAAAAAGATCCAACACACTGGTTCTCCAAGTGGACCACACACCTGGGAACATGTGAGAAATGCAAATTCAGGATGCCTCCCTGGATCTACTGAATCAGAAACTCTGTGATTAAAAACGCCTTCAGGTGATTCGGATCCAGGCTTACATTTGAGAACCACTGGTTAAAGGAACCAAGGGAAAATCATGGCCTCTGTGATGAAGGTGGTTCCAATTTCCAGCTCTGGGATTGTTAGGAGGTCGAGGCTGGTGTGAAACCAGGTGGGAAAAATAATTTCTTACCAGGAGAAGGACTGAGAGAGGAATCAATTCAAAGGGCTGCAGGGACCTAGTTTTAAGGGGAAGTTGTTGGATTAAAAAAACAAACAAACAAAAAAACCCCAGCACGTAAGCAAGCAAAATGTCATAATATGTCTAGGACAGGGCTGACCTCTCAAGTTTCCCATTCATAGTCATCTAGGCACTTAAAAGGAGTGACAGAGCCTTCTGAAGCTAGACAAGGGAGCCACAATTTGGCCCATTTGGGTTTTAAGAGTGTTGTCAGAACAAGAAGTCTGACCAGGCCTGAGATGGCTCACAAATACAATGACGGTGAGAATTTCTGTTTTAAGGCATCATGACCAGTGACTCACATCCTTATAAACCACCCCTACATCTTGCCAGAGTTCTGTGTGGCTCCAAGGAGGAGGGTGGAGGGGGTCCACAGGAGACCCAGAGGAGCCTGGACCACAGAGCCAGAGCATTACCTCTAAACGGTTGCTCCGGAGAGCCGTTTGGTGAAGAAGTATCAACTCACAGGTCTGATGATGAACCACGAGACATGCAGCAACAGGAGCAAAATTCTCTTGGTTAGAGGACCATAATATTTTGCTGAGTTTGGGGGGAGGGCAGAGACGCTGTAAGGTTATATGGAGCTGAACACATTACAGTTGAACCAGATGTTAGGTGAAAAAGTTGTGAGTTGATGGAATTATCACATAAGGGATTGCTCCATCTCCTCCCTCTCCACGTGTCCTCCTCCTTTTCTCCCTGCCTCTGGTGTCCACCAGGCACAGATCAGCATTATTGAGTGTCCAGCTGGGTATTGTGATGTCAGAGGCATCACCCACAGTGGTTGAGGAAACTAGTAGCCCAGCCCTGTTTGGGGACACATGGCCTCGATTGGAGCTCTCGTGACACCATGTGACACCACTTTTGTTCCATCTACCTGAAAACATCTCACACCTCCTACATCTCCAGAAGCCCTCAGTGTACCCTCCCCAAACCAATATGGTGCTTCAGGGAAACCAAGGCACAGAGAAACTTGCTCAAGGTCAGGAAGCAATACCCTGGTACTGCCATGAACACTGCCAGAGCTTCCTGATCACTTGTCCACACCAGTCCAGGGGACCCGGCTGCCTTTTATAGAAAGTTTCCACACACCTTCTATTCCTAACCTCAATCACAAGCATCACCGGTCCACATGCTTCAGAAGCACCAGCAGACTCTGTGTCACAGCCTTAGTAACGTCCCCTTTTAGGACCATGAGCACCACTTGTTTGCACTGGACACTGAATTCTTGATACTCTTCTTGGACTGCTTTTTTGTTTTTATTTCCAACAGAGGTAACTAATCAGGGCTTTACAGATCAAGAAAGCCAACTATGGTTCACCAAGAAAAAGCAGCAGCTTACCATACGTGACTGTGCCCCAAGATGCCAAGAATGTCAAGAGTCTGCACTTTGGGGGTAGGAAGAATTCTTTGTTACTAATGGTCCAGGGTGAGTGCAGTACCTATCTTTTTTGTTTTTCTTTTGCAAGCTGACAGTAACATACTGAGAAAATGAAAGATAATCTAATAGAGATCACATATATGTATACATACACATATATATGTATGTATTTAAAAATTTTTTCTTATGGAAGTATAGTTGATTTACAATGTTAGTTTCAGGTATATAGCAAAGTGTTTCAGTTATACATATATATTATGTTTATGTATGTATTTTAGAAGTTTTCAGAATGTCTTGACCTTGAGATCTAAAATGGGTAGAGCCTTTGGGAAAAAAAGGAAGCAAGCCCCTCCGAATAAGACTTGCATGTGAAGCTGGAGAACAGATATGTAACCTTTAGCATATGGCTCGCTCCACCGTTCAGTGAACAGATTCCAGTCCCTAAATAAAGCCCCGGAAAGCACACATATTGGACGAACTAGCTCATTTATAAAAAACTGAGGGGCCAAGACAGGGAGTGCTCACTGGCCAATAAGATGACTTGGTTTCCCAACATGACAGAAATGCATTTCAACCATGTAGTAAATAAAATAAAACTTCATTGTCAAAGAACCCCAACTGTCCCCCATGTGATCTGCCTTTGAGGCCTCCTCATGTGACTGGCCTCCCAATTTAGAGCGTAACCAACTCCCAATGACCTGTAATAACACCATTCCCAAATTAGAGCTCTCAATTTGACTTGGCCTCAGTCCCTCCCTCAAAGCAAAATAAAGCATCCGTTTTCTTTTTTTCACATTCATAATACTCTCCTTTTCGAGTTGCCAACTCAAACCCTGCTCCAGTCAGATTGAGCCCTTCCTCTATTTTTTTTTCTGGTTAGCCAAAGAGCCTGATGGAAAAACACCAAGAGACAAAAACAAAAACAAAATCAGACAAAAATTCCAAGTAAGTGACATTCAGCTGGAAAAGCTATGATTCACATGCAAATAAAAATCTCCCTGAATTCACTGTTATATGACGCAAGCCCCTGGCTTCAACATAAAAAGGGCAGAATGAAATCACCCACAATTAAACTCACCCTGGAATACTGGAATTCTCTGGCTAGACTTCCCCAGTTAATGATAAGACCCCCCCCCATAATGGAATGAAGCTAATTGTGTTGGATCCCAGGGTATCCCCAACTCAGCTGACATTCACAGCTGGGCATTCCCCAGTCCAGCATGGTCCACCTTCCCACAGCCCTGACCTGGGCTAGCCAGCCCACGTGGAGATGGGGCTCCAGCCTCTCAGTGGCAGCCCTCCTTTCCGGGCAGACACCGGGGATTGTGCTGAGAACCCTGGCCCTCGCCCCCACACCCTACCCCTAGATGCTAGTGTGCCAGAAAGCTTTCTTAGGAGCTCTGGGAAGTTCTCCCCAAGACTAAACGGAGCCTTTGTTTGAACTTCACAGCATCCTCAGCCTTTGATCTCAAGTCCAGGCCAGTGATAGTCCAGCAAGTCACCTCTCCTTACTGGTAGACAATTTACCATTTCACTTTCCCTTCTTCTCCAGGGGAAAGTTGGTCAGACACCACTTTCTTTTTCTCCAGATGGTTCCCTTATGATGCACACTCCATCTGCCCGAGAGTCACAGAATTCTGGAGACAGAAGGGCCCTCAGAGGTTCTCCAGCCCTTCCTTTACTAGTTGTGGCCTCTCATCACTGGATTCCTCCCTGCTGGTCACCTGGCCTGAGCCACTGCCTAGTCATGGGGAGTCCACTTCCACCATCAAAGACATCTGGGATTACTGAAGCCGCAGTCAGCCTCTCTGCAACTTCTTCCCATTCAGCAAAGGTGAGTTTTTCTGAAACTGCAAAGAATTAATCTACAGACACTTGTTCACCCATGATCAGAGCCGCATTATTCACAATAACCAAAAGCAACCCAAACGTCCATCAATAGTGAATGGCTAAACAAAATGTGGGAGTATACATACAACAGAATATCGTTCAGCCTTTAAAAGGAAGGAAATTCTGACACACACTGCAAAAGGGATAAATCTTGAAAACATTATGCTAAATGAAAGGAGCCTGATACGAAAGACAAATATTGTATGATTACACTTATATGAGGCACCCAGAATAGGCAAATTCATAGAGACAGTAGGCAGAATAGTGGTTACCAGGGGCTCAGGGGAGGAGGGGACATTATTGTTTAATGTGTAAAGAGTTTCTATTTGAGATGATGAAAAAGCTTTGGAAATGGAGAGTGGTGATGGTACTGCAACATTGTAAACATAATTAATGTAATAGAACTGCACACATAACAACTTTCAAAATGGCACATTTTATGTAATGTCTATTCTACTACAGTGAAAAAAATACAAAAAAATTAGATAAATTGACTTCCCCTTTCCCAAGATAGCCATGCCTCTAAATTTTCTTTTTCAGGCTAAAACCCCCCATTCCTTCTAATAATCTTTAGATAATATGATTTCTAGACCCCACAGCTTCCTAGACACCTTCCTCTGGGCCCACTCAGTGTTTCTTTGGAAACCTGGTGCCCAGAAATGTACAGGAGACTGTGCTTGGCTACCAGCTCCCCCATGTCTCCCTCAGAGGCACCCAGCTCAGCTCCCAGTCAAAAGCCACATAGAATGGGCCCACTGACTGCCTGTTTTGGATGCCAGGGCAAAAAGGTCCAAGTTCAAAAGCCATGCCATATCCACCCCCCTACCCCCGTGGCTGCTTCCCCAAGCCCAGATCCATTTCCCAGACAGCTGTGGGCAGCTGAAGCTGAGAAGTGAAACCGGCAGAGGCAACTGGCTGGTGGGGTGTGGGGGGTGGGGTCGGGGGAAGCATCTCATCTAAGCACACTCGGGCCTTTCCACAGATTTCCCTCGATTCCCGTGGGTGTTTGGCAAACGGAAACGGAGCAGGCATGGGAGGCATCTCTCTCCAGGCACTCGGGGATGCCTCTTACCAGCCACCCACCAGCAGCCTGTAGCTGGCATCGCGGGGCTCAGCCACCCAAGCTGGACCAGCCTTGCTGGGCGCCAAGCACTCGTCCCTCTCTGTCCATCTGGAAAAGGTTTGAAAGTTTGAAGCAGAAAAGGTCCCTTCTGCATTTTAAAGGATGTGGAAACTGAGTAGCCTGGGTGTTGGTCTGATTCCATGAGTGAGTAATCCATTTCCTGAAAGTAAACTGCTCACCCTTTGGAAGTGGACCAGGGATTTTGGGGTGCCATGTGAAGTGTCACTAACTGGGTAAATATTTACTGGCAGAAGCCACGGAACTTTTCTAGGAATGTCAGTTAATTTACTAAATGAATGACCCTTAAGGTGACAACCTAAAAAAAAGTTAACTTGTCTTTTAATGGGTGAGCATTTTATGCCTGGGATGGGGTATTAGGAGGGAGGGTGCTTCTCTGACTAGTTAGAATAACCACATATAAATTAAAACCAGGCCTGACTTTAGAATCTCTACCTTCTAACTTTTCTTGACTCCTGATTTTCTATTAAAATCTGAGCCGATGATTGGTTGACTTTGGAAAACTCTGTTCTCTATGCCAATAATTTGCCTGGAGTTTCAAATGACAGGATTTGAAAAATGCCTTCTCTGGGAGTCTACTGGCTTCGGGGATTCCATATATCTGCCACTTACTAAAAGACTGTGCCCTTCTGGATATACCTAGAGTCATGCCTCTCACTCTCCTGTGTGGAACAATTTAGACTCTCCTGTGTGGAACAATTTAGACTTCAATCAGGTGGCTTGAAAAAGCCTCTTGCACTGATGAATAAAAAGGTGATTTCTTTTTGGCTCAAATGATCACTTAAACAGTCTTTTCAAAAAGACTCCTGTGTCCCCTGCTTCATGAAACAGGCAATCTGCAGGAAGTAATCTAAATTTTCTGATTAAAACTATGCAGACAGATGAGTGTTTTTGGAGCTCCGCTGGGAAGAGGAAGAGTTTGTATGTGAGGCAGCCTCTGATGTAGGAATAAATCAGGCTGAGAAGTGATTCTCAGTGGAAGAATCATGGAAGTGATGAAGTTGACAGAGAAAGGTCATTCTGGATTCCCATCCTCATGCTCAGTCTCCCGCCAGCGCTCAGTCTCTCTCAGGACGAGCCCTTTTAGTAGAGTTTGGGAAACATATGTGACTGTGTTGAGCTCGGGCACCCCCTCCAAGCAGTTTTCCGAGACAGAAATGGAGGTTTCCCTGACTCTGCCCAAACGGAGTCGGGATATGTCCACTTGCGTCTGGTTTTAGGCCAACCGTACGGTATCCTAGAATCAGATGCCATCTACCTGCTGTTCCTTCCCTAACAGGGGTGCTCTGGGAAGGGGATGACTCTGTGACTCCAAGAGATGACAACCCTCCCTAGTGTGCTGGAGCCTGAGCCTGCAAAGGCCAGAGCATCAGTACTCGCTTCTGTCCCTGGAGAACCAGGCAGGGTGCTCACTTGGGTATACAGCTTCCCCTGGGAAGGCCCATCTCTCACAGCACTACACAGCGGCTGGCATGGAAGAAAACAATATGCTGGCTGCCAAGAACACAGGGTTGGTGGTCCACGTAGCCAGCAACGTTAAAAACAGTGTTTTCCTTGTTCATTCATTTCCTTCCTTTCCAATCTACGAGGGCCTATCTATGAGGTGGCATTGCTTAAACAGAAGTCACTGAATGCCTGAAAAACAGGGCTGGCCTATTCTGTTAGTAGAGTGGGAATTTGTTCTTAGCTGATTTCCTCTTATGCTTTCATTTGGCACATATAAATATTGTATTATCTTTGTATTTCTCTATTGTATTGTCTGTTTAATTTATCTTTTGAAGCATGAGGACATAGTCAGAGTGCAGATCCAGAGGAAGATGACTATGTGCTGAGAAACTCTATCATCAATACTTTTTGGAACAAAAGCAAATGCTTACAATATAAGTGATGATCAGTGAGCATTCATAACCACAGAATAACGAGGAGTTGGGAAATGTCAGAGAAATTCACAAGATGAGCCTTGAACGGGATGTGTGCTGGGAGGGGCACCTGTTGACAGTTAAGGATCCAGACACGGTGTGTGTCCCTTGGTTACCCTTGGCACCTGCACTCAACAGCCTCTAGGAAACCACCTTATTCTATTTTCTCTGTGACTCTCTCCTGTACAGGTCTGGCCTGAGGAGATGGGAGAGGTCACAGAGGAGAGCCAATGGAATGAAATAGGAGAGACAGGAGGCTGGCAGGGAACTAAGCCAGCCCCAGTTGCTTCTGCTGCTTGCTTTTCTTCTTTTTTAAAAAAAAATTTGGGGGTACTTTATTTATTTAATGGAAGTACTGGGGATTGAACCCAGGACCTCGTGCACATGCCAAGCACGTGCTCTACCACTGAGCTCTACCCTCCCTCTGTTTCTGCTGCCTTTTGAATCCCGGGAGTAAGTACAACATACAGATGATTCCCCCTATAAACGCATACCTCAAGATCCTTCCGTGCGTGCAGCAGACTGCCCACGACCTCGGACATTTACTATGGGGTGAGAACAGGGCTCCTGCTTTACCCAGGGACACCCCTGTAATGGAATCCCACCTCAGATGTGTCCATGATCTTCAGCCCTGCACTCGCTGTGAGGCAGTCTGAGTAACCAAGGGTCGGATCACGCCCGCTCTCCCCGAGACCTACACTGCTTCTGAAAGTGCAACGTCGCCTCACTCATAGATCTCTCTGTCATCTGAGCAGTGGTCTGTCACAACTCACTTTACCTGCTTGTGTTTTGGGAGATTTTCCCATTTCAGTGAAACAGAGAAACTGCTGAGCTGGCCTCCCTGAATACTTTTCACTTGGGGCCCCATCCAGAAGTGACTAAAAAGTTTTCCAAAATGAGCGGTGTCTCCCCACGTGTAATGCTGTATGCACACAGGATTACATCTATCTGCTCAGCCTCTGGTGTTGAACATCTTAACATCTATGGAATACTTTTTTTTTTAAGTTTGCCAACTCCCTTTCTAAATATCATTACACCTAATTTTCAAAACAAGCGTGACGGGGCAGGTGGTGAGGAAACAGGCTGGTGGAGGTGAAGTGACTGACGTGCCCCAGGTGCTCCACGCCTGCCCAAGCCCCGGGCCCTAGTCCGGCGTGGGTGCCCGCTGTCCTCTCGCTGGAAGGATGGTCTGCACGGCTTGGCCTCACCTGCCCACTGTCTTCTTACAGATGAAGCTAAACCTGGATGGCATTAGAAACTTAATAATAGTTTGAGAGCAAATCTTAGCAGTCTCCAAAGCAGTCGAGAATCAGATTCTGCAAGCAAATAAGACATCATTGCCTATTTCTTCTTCCTCTGGCTCTGCTGGCGGGTGTGAGTGAATTGAGTGTGCCGGGTGAGGGGAGTACAGCCTCCAGAACATACCATTATGATTATCTAACAATAACAACACTCTCACTGGCAGCGTCCACTGAAAAGATGAACAGCATGAGGTTTCTTTTACTCTACATGGCAACAAGCTTCTGAAGTTGAAAAAAAAAGTAAAAATATAAACTGCTTCATTAGGTCTCAGTGATGCTGGTTACTTTGAGTTTTCTTCCAACTTTAACAGTAGGAACCGAACAAGTTTCTGGATCTTGTCTCAACTAAGACGCTTTCCAATGTTCCAGAAAAGGATATTTAACAAATGGGGTTAAGTTAAGTAACTGAAGTTTAGTTAACCTTCTCTTAAACTAGCCCTAAAGAAAAGTACTCATACACCAAAAAGGCCTCTAATCCACATTACAACCCTAAACATGATCTCTGCTCACAGTCCAGAGACACACACCCTCCAAGTCTCTCACTCACAGACCTGAAAACTACACCATGTTGGCAAAAAGCAACTTCACAGCAGATGCATTACAAAGTGAGCAGTGATATATTCAGGCCCAATTTGCCATGCATTGTCTTATTAAGTTTTATTTTCTGATAAGTAATCTTTTTTTTCAAACAGAAAAGCTGGCAGTTGTATTAAGACCGTTGCATTTTCACTTACACATTTCTTTTTCTACAGCTCCATGAAGACTAGGAAAATATTTCTGTTATTATAAAGAACTACACAGTGACGTCAGATGTGCTTGTGAGATTTCCCACCAAACAACATGGGAATGAATGATGGCAAAGGACTGAGGAATAATACATACATAAGGGATGGAGCCCCAGTGGGACTGGGAACACACACACACACACTCCATCTTCTCCAGACGCGCACACACCTGCTCCACCAACTTGGCCTCCAAATCCTCCAGGTCATTATTCCAACTTGTCCTCTCTACCTCGGGTCCCAGACAAGATCCCCTCGTCAAATCTTGAAGATTATCCAACAGAAAGAAGTACTTTCCTTCTCACATTCTGAGAGATGGGTGGATCTGATAAGGACAAGCAGATGGAAGGGTTACCGTGGAGAAACTAGCAATAGAAAATGGTTTGGTTTGGAGCTGTCTCCCAACTGCAGACAGGAGCTCAGGGATATAGCCCTAGGTTCTAAGTCCGAGAATGGAATCTCTTGTGCCTTAATTTCCTCATAAGAAAAGCAAATAAATCCTTCTATCACCAGCCACTTCCAAAGAATGACATGGAGAACAGTGATTTGTGCATCTAAAAGCTCAGTACAAAGGGTAATGATAAGGCCTTCACTCTGAATGTCCTTGTCTAAAGATCTGTACTCCTATGGACTAAAGGCTTCACTCATGTGCAGGCCTCAGGGTGTCCTCTGAAATCCAGTCTGAAATCCTGCATCATCTGGAAAGGGAAGAAAATTTAAATGTTCTTGGTTGCAAATTGATATTTTTAGCACTCTTAGAAAAGATTAGACTGTTTTTCATGTAATTCATTTCTCATAATATTAGCACTTGTGTTTCAAGAGCACGTAGCAGGGAGCTATTGTTGGAGAAGACAAGATTAGAATAAAATGGCTGAGTTTTAAGATATATTGCTCATTCTTTTATTTTGCTGAAAATATCTTCTCAATATCTACTTTCCATTTAGCAGCTATCCCCCCCCCAATATACATATATATTCCTGGTCCAATGGACTGTAGACATACAAGAATCGCCAGAAAACAACTTTAAATGTTTGACCTTCAGTCCCAATCTCCAAAAATGACGGGAAACTGGCACGTTTGTGAGTTTCCGCAAATTTCTACCAGTCTGTCAGATACAAAATTCAAACCCGTGTCAAGAAAAACATAAGTGTTGGAATATCTGTCTTCCTTGTTTCCTCTGCTTCTTCCTGCTGCCTCCTTCTTGTCTCTTTTACTACTTTTAAATGTTACGTAGCACAAAGAAAGGGGAATAGCACTTGAAAAAGGTTTGGGGCAGGTTTGGGCAAGCATAATGCAAAATACAAGATTGGGATTATCCAGGGTTCCAATACTCCATGCTTTCCCAAGAGACTGATACACGTATACATATGTAAAAAAAGGTGTGTGTGTATATATATGTATATATACGCTGCATGCACACACACAAATTAGGTAGGTAGGTAGAGAGAGAGAGCGAGATTGAATGAATGAATAAGATTTGGCTGCAGGTCATTAGAGACTATTTAAAAAGCATTCAGATACTAGTATAAACCCCAGGAGACTAATTCAGTAGACAAAAATGCCCTTTTAACCAAACAACTCAAACATAGGAGAGAATTTCCTCCTTTCACCAAAGCCAAATATTTTACTGCACTTTAAAAGACTAATTAAAACAATACTGTGGTATTCAGACACGCGTGGGTTATGGAGAGGAATCTTCACTTCATAAGCAGACGCCGAACCTACGGTGAGAGTCATGCAGGAGTCGCAGGGACTTGTTTCATTAATATTCACATATCCACTTGGGAAGGAACCGTAGCTTGGAACTATGATTTCCATTACAAAGCCCTGAAATGCCGGGAATGAGTCATGCCTTGCGCCTGGGCATTGCACTGATTTTCTCCATTAACCAGGCGCACAAACTGACAACTTCCAGGAGAAAAGCTGAATGAGTCAGTTTTAGAAATAAACCACATCGGAATACTATGCGTGGAGGAGGTCGGGTAATGGGAACTGAGTTTGGGTTTTTTTTTGGTTCTGGTTTGTTCTCTTTAAATAGAAGCATTCATATAATGTATTTCTCCGAAGATAGCCAAAAGCATAGATCCACCCAATTATAAGGATTCTAACACCATAACCCAATTGGTTGCCCAAACACTACATCATGTGGTAAAACTGCTAGGATCAATAATAGCTTTTCAAGGACAATTCCACAGCCCTTTAAAACACAGTGTATAACCTTTGGACTGCTTCCAAACATCTTCTCTTGTCCTTTTTCCTTTTTATTTATTTAAAAAAATTTATTGAAATAGAGTCAGTTTACAATATTGTGTCAATTTCTGGTGTATAGTGTAATGTTTCAGTCATACGTATACATACATATATTCATTTTCATATTTTCTCGTTATAGTTTACTATAAGGTATTGAATATAGTTCCTTGTGCTGTACAGTATAAACTTGTTAATCTATTTTATATATAGTACTTAGTATCTGCAAATCTTGAACTTCCAATTTATCCCTCCCCATCCCCTTTCCCCTCCTGATAACCATTAGTTTGTTTTCTATGTCTGTGAGTC